GGCTTAACCAGGAAATTTCCGAAAAATGGGGATTAAGCTAGGTCCCACATAACCGGTGAGAACGGGTCGTTCAAGTATCAAGTATGTATGTATAACATAACAATCTTACAACTTGCGCACTACGATCGTGCTGTGATGTGAATAGCCCGGATGATGCTCAGATATTTGCGAAACTCTAAAACTCTGGTGTCGGCGGTGGAGAACGAACATGTTATTACCCTTTCCGGAGACTAACACACTCACCACCAAATCATGCGGGTCCCTCGTTTCGACTGTTCGCAATTAAAATATGAATAGTGTTTTCAGCTGCTTATCTAGGTTGGCATTTTGGATGTCAAGAAAACCTTTTTTTACAACTCTACTACGAATTTAAACTTGGACATGCGCGGAATAAACTGCTCGAAGCATTAATGAAGAATGAAGCCTAAGAGGTATTAACAAACACATAGTGCAATATCGGTTATATCGGTTGGAAAATTTTCACCGCATAATTGATCTTTAAGGTAAGGAAGATCGTGGACGTCCTTATGCTACTGAACACAATGAACTGAAGACTTTGCTGGAAGGAAATACACGCACAACTGTTCGAGAACTCACAGAAGATCTTACAATTTTAGATTAGCTAAAGACATGTTGAAAGTCAAAGAACCTAGAGAAATAGGTGTCGTGCCATTCGGTTGATATTCAAAGGAATGGTCGTTCTGAGTTGTCGCCAATTCTTCGTTTCTCGACGCCGCTGCAATTTGCCACAATAAATTGATATTTAAAGATAAGCGGCAACGACGTGCTCAGTGATTGCACCGTAACGAAGATCCACAGCACTTCCCAGAGGCAAAATTTTGCCAGAAAAAGGTCATGTTGGCTATTTGGTGGCCTGCAGCTGGTTTCATCAAACATGGTTTCCTGAATCTCTATGAAACGAAACGATTAAGGTGAAGAAATACGCTCACCAAATCAATATGTTTGAGAAATCAAGACGAGACTAGAACTGTCTTCAACGAATTCATCGCTTCCAGTGGTTCAAAGTTTTATGCAATCTGTACAATAAGATTTCTCTCCCGTCGACAAAATATAGAGATTGCAGCGTTTTTTGTTTCGATTAAAGAAGTTTATTATGAGCTGAGATATGCCAATTTTAAAGTGGAGGTTGAAATCCATCTTTAATTTCCGAACAGCCTGATAGTTGCCATTGTTTCACAAATGAATGGTTACTGAGGTTGATGGTTCCGGTTTGTTCGGTCACTGACACTTATTTCATTTTCTACTATAAAACAATAGTTCGGGGCAGTTGCTCTCAATGTAGTTTTCTTCCTTCGTGACTTTGTTCATTTTTTCAAGTAAAAAGATAGGATTGGATGTGCATCAGCAGGGAATATTTATTCCACTTTTTAGTGTGGAGTTGCAGTATTCGTTTGATTTGTACGGAATCATTCCTCATTTCGTTGCACATGATTTCATGCTTGACTACCTAACAACGCGTCAGGTAGGGTTGGTTGAATAGTCGGATTTTCGTTCACTAATGTGATAAAACGCGGTCCACCTATACCCGAATATCAAAATGCATTAAAGTCCGTCCACCCATCAAAGTCGCGCAATAATTGTTCAGCTTGGCGGTTCCATTCCGCGATGCCACAATACTTTAATGATATGTCGCCATCGAAATTACCGGTTTCAGACACATGTGGCTACACCTATCATCAACTTGAGCTGCTTTTCTTAATCACTTCCGATCATAAAGCAGAGTTGCCAAAGTTTATGAGCCATTCGGAAAAAATGCTCCGTTCTGAAAAAAACTTCCTTCATTTTACTTTCAAAGGTGTTCGTAGTATACTGCTTTCTAAACTATTTTCTCCAAGGTTTGAGCGATTGTATGAAGTTGCGCACATTGTAGAAACGCAGTTCTATTGTAGGCTTCTACACTGGCCTGTCCACTATTCAACGTGATATAAACATACTAAACAAGTTTTTTGTTATGTTCCGCTGAGAGTAAATTCAAGCAACTAGTTGTGGCCTTCGGAACTTCTGATTCTGGAGTAAACACACGAATGTTCCCAATTAATAAGTAGTCGCGACCACATTATTTAACCTTGCAATGTTTTTTGTTTAAATAAGAACAGAGGGAAGAGTTTCAGAATTAGTTTGAACACCACCTTTGTCTTATTACTGTGGTCAATGGTGGTGGTCCAGGAGACGCCATTTTCGGTGCTAAATGGTGTAAGCAAAATAACGCGCCTTTCTGTCGTGCTGCAGCGTTTATAATTATATGCTTATTTTTTTACACGACGGCCAGCACATGCCGTGCGGATTTCTGCGCTTATTTTATTGGTTTCCTTGCATCCATCATCCACTACACTCTTCAGATTTCAATATGAATTCAGTTACCAAATAACTATCTGATCCTCGTTAATGCTCAGAGTTTCTGGGTTGACCATGATAAACCTTTTTCAGATCTTTCCGACAAGTAGCCAGCAACTTTTGTGGATCGGTGGAAGCTGTTCCGAACCAACTATAGCATCAGTTTATCACCCAAGACTGGTGGGAACCTTGGTTTGCCTGTCGGGATCGAATTAGGCCCTTGCGCGGGATAAATTTCATCTCTACCATTACTTAAGCCACTTCCCATGTACTTGCCAGATTTGCTGCATACTTTTTGTACTATTTGTCATACCTGAAATTTATTTCGCTAATTTTCCTAGTCATGGAACTTGTCGTGCCTTAATCTTCTGCTTCTCGTTACTAGAAGCATTCGTTTACTTCTGGTTTGGGTATAACCAATGAAGAGCTAACAAAATCGCAGCACTGAAAGTTCTTTTTGAGCTCTGTTAGCTCATCGTTCTCCGTTAACGTTGGACTGATTAGTTAGGAATTGGATTCTTGTTGGGGTGTCACCTCCACTCCTAACGAAAATTAGGTTTGCGAGCAGAATAATGGTGCCGAATGAAACCACTTAATGAAACCACATTGTTTGATTTGGAGACTTCAGCAGAGGTTTTTGATCTAGGTCATAATTAACTAAAAGAAAGTTAAGTCTGCATAAAATTGAAGTGATAAAATTGCAGATTCTGCTTGACTCTTCTTCTTTCTTCAAAAATATTTGATTCAGAGAGAAAAGAATAAGGTAAGGTGCCAACGACTTTTTAAAATTCGTTATTGACTTTAGTTGTCAACGGACTCACAATGAGCTTTATATAGTGTAGAACAAAGAGAAAACCAAATATTTTAGAGATCTTTGATAGATTTTACTGCAAAGAAAAGTTCGGCTAACTCATCCAGTAAATCGTTTCGACATTAAATCTTCTAGGATGTTCGCATATTAGAGGAAAAGTCAATCTATGAATGCATGTTCGGCTATGATCATTATCGGCTATCACCTCGATTATGCAAACTTGAAACATACTCAACGTTGTATTCGTACACATAGTGTGTCACCCCTCCGGATTATGAAACTGGTTCGGTCGCACGGTAGAAGTACGGATTTCCATAATGTGCACATAACAGGCAGATAGGTTGATATGCATAGGGACCAACGTATCAAAAAACCACTAAACGAGTCATGCGGTGCTTTTACAGAACATTTAGCAACACTAAAGCATGGGGCAATTGGCATACTCTTGTGTGTATTACTTAGTTTTAGTTCACCACTTCTCCTTACGTTTTTTATACTCATCCTTCTCACTAGTTGGTCCGCTTATTTTCGATCCATTCTTGCATATTGAAAAGAGTTTACCAAACCTAGTCCCAAATTCTTTCATTGTCACATATTTCCCTATTTTTCTCGGAAGATTTTGCATCGAATCTCATATTGCATGAAGATGATGACGTCGTTAGAATATTTAAATTATGTTAGCAGAAAACGTTGTGGTGAAAGACGACTATTCGGCTCTCTGTTCCGTTGAAAGCAATAAAAATCACATGTAATTCTCAACGCATGCACGCCACTCTTTTGAACTTCTGCGAAATTCTTCGTATATTTTAGATTTGGTTCCTGCTCTCTCAATCACCAGCTTGTGATAACGGCGTTGTTCACAATGTTTAACTGCTCCGTTCTCCTAATGCGCGCATTTGCTCCTATGGTGCTTCCTTTGACATTTCCTGAAAAGTTGAGTTGAATGCAAACATCTCGCTTAAAACGCTGAGCAGATCTTCTCATATGTGATTTCAATGCGCTCTTCACTGGTTTAGATGTGGCCTCGAATTATTCCATCAGAAAAGATTAATGAGCCATGCCTTGCAAAGGAATTGTCTTATTTTCACATTGGTAATAGCCTTCGTGACGATTTGAATGTAGTTCGAATGAAGTTTACACATCATTTTTTCTCAATTTTCTAATTATAACACAACTACAACGTGAGGATTTAGATGAAGCAAATGAGGTAGAGAAGACACTTTCTTGCAATATATGTCATGCACATCTCCTACTCGTCGAAGTACTAGATTCTTTGTAATGTGTGTTTAAAATTTTTATTTTATATATGCTTCCTCATTTAGGAATAGCGCTGTTTGTTTTTTGCTGTTTAGGCTTGGCTCTAATGTGCTCTAAAATCGCCATCTTTTTTAGGGGCTTTGTCTACTCCAGTGTTTGAGCTTCACTGGCTTAACAATATGTCTTTTTCAGTTAGTGAATACATAATTCGAATAGTTCCTGCTTTTATAAATGCAACGGAGCAGAGGTAAACAGCGGTCTTGACTATGTCAATAGAAGCAAGATACAGCACTGCCGGACGCATCCGGTGTCTTTGTCTGCGATTCAGGACTGCATTTATATTATTTGGGGAATTTTTTTGAACTCCACTATTTCGACAAGAAGGTGTTGCTAATAGGTAAAAATTTCAATTGACATTGCTCTACCATGCTGCATGATTTTTGTAAAATTGTGATTTTCCTTGAATCGTATTACTTGTGCACAGATATTTGTCGTGAACTCGAGAATTATCGCTTTGGTTCTCCTCGGTGTTTCAGATGTGCTTCATAAGTGTTAATCAACGTTCCTGATTTGGGCCATGAATGTGGATTTCCAAACTACTTCAACGAAATTGTCCAGTCTGCTCTTATCAATAGTGACGACTGTTATAACCGTAGCAACAATTTTACGTTCTGAGACGTCATGTGAGCGTTTTCATTGCAGTTCAGGTGAGCATAATTTTGCGAAAGCGAACATAAGGATAGTTGTACAATAACCACTTTAACAGTTAAGGAGAATGATAAAACGCTCCAGCGAGATTAGTTTTTGTTAATCAATGGTTTATGTGATAAAACTGCTTACGTTCTTTTCATCACGATTGGAACCACGCTTGGTTTTTGGATTAGCAACTGTAAAGAACGGGAGAATAAGCATCATAGATATTCCACATGGATAGATTTAGCATTCTGCATAAGTGAATACTAGTGAGAGCTTCAGATATACTTCCTACACGCATCGTTGATCCATATCTACGTCCGCGTCCAACATTTAACTCTCCATGTTCTTGTCTTCCCGACTGGAACTCAATGTTTTGCAATCACACACAAATAGTTTCCTCACGACTAGGACATATTCTTCCTGAAATGCCAACCATATGCATATGCAGGTTTCTAATTCTGTTTCCATTGTTGGGTCTGCTTAATATTCTCGTTTGAACGTTTGGTTTCAGAAAATTCGTTGACAGTGGTAGTAAATGCCAGCAGTTTATTACGAGATGCTTCAACCGAGGAAACAAAAAGTGCGTCTTACTCGTAATTTATGGCTGAGTTTATTCATAATGGGGTGTTGATCACAATCGAAATAACTTTACGAGAACATAAAAATATCACGAAGTTAGGTGTTCATTGGGAAAAAAAAGTTATCTTAAGGACAGAAAACAGTTCCTGAAGCATTCTTCGAGAATTTTGTCATTTACTACCTGATCGTTTAAAAAAGGGCCTGTGAAGAAAAAATCTCGAAAGCTTTAAATAAAGTGAAGCTTACAAGGCAAGTAGGATTACATGAAGTATTTCTTTGTTTGAAGACAAAAGAGCCTTCCAAATCTGCCGTGGTGCGGCCAACTATTCACCTTCATCATTTTCAGAAGGCATGACGTTGGGTTTTATTTAACAACACTATACACACTTTCAAAGAGCGCTTGTAGGGCTGTGGTTAGAAGTGCCTTGCAATATACACTGAATCGGATGCTGGTGTGATCTCTCATATCGGTGCCACCAAATTTTCACTGTTCCAGATTCGGCAGATTGGTAACAAGCTTCTCTGGCAGTGTTGCAACACTAATTTGACATGTGGCTGGGTCACCGCAAGTCACTGTGAGATGTGCATTAAATCACTTCGACGATCTTGATGAATTCTAATACACGGTGTTTCAAGGATCGGACAACACGGAAAACTTCGTAAATACATTTGTCGAGGAAAGCGTAAACAACTCTTTACAAGAACACTAGCATTGAGAGGCCGCGTAGCACATCTGTGAAATTCTTTTTTCGACACTTTATTACTTAGGCGGAAAAGAGTCAGCACAAAGCTATCGCGAATAAATCGTTTACAGCCGGTCTGTAGAACACGAACTGCAGAAGATTTCTTTGTCGGCAGCACCAATTTAAGAAGGCGGTGGAAGACTTTTTTGCGGTTATTTTATTAGGAAGGAAGATCACAGCAGGACGCGAATGGACCAGATTATGTCCGCACCTTGTTATCTTGATGGAAATCACAAATAAGGCTTCCAACTGTAGTGGTTCCGCATGATATGTGAAGAAAACTCATCTACTTTTCGTTCTGTTTAAATGGAAGTCAGAGTACCTATGAATGCCCACATTGGGTTTGACTTGTGACCAGCCCATTAAGAATAAGTGCTCAGACGTAGTAATTAAAAAAAGCGCAATCTTGACAACAGCATCTAGCATTCTCAAAAATTAAAATAGCTGTTTTCACGAGTAGTGTAGGTCGCCTCAGACAAACTAGCTCATTATTCATTACAGTAATATAATCAACGTCTTTATCAAATTCGACACGTTTCCTTACAGGAATGGTAAATTTGAAGAACGCTATTTTTTTCATTCTATGGTTGCGATAGCAATCAGCTGGAGTTCATTATTCAAGCGGATCGCCTCATAAATCTTCGAGCTCTGATGGATTATGTCCATTCTAATCTATGGAATGCATTTTAATAGTCTGCAGTGGTTAGTGGAAAAAACAAGTGGTATCAAAACGGATTTACACGACCCTAGATACGGTTCGAACATAGTGAAGTCCACAACGGAAAGCGTTTCGATATATTACTTTGCGCTGTATGCTGTACCTAATCCAAACATGTTGTTTTCCAAATGTAGCTTATTTCTTTGAAGACAATGTAGAATTCTCCCAGAAAGCAAATGAGGTTGTACTTGCGATGTTTCTTTCTATCACATTGGCTGTCTATAATGATCGTAACGGTGGCCCTCCAAATGTCTGGGATTTCTTTCCCATAATGAAAGGTGTGATCTCGTATAAGCTGGGAGAAGTACCACGAGTTTGTGCCTAATACCTTAAAGTCATTCACCTATTGTGATACCCGACTCTAGAGCTCTTCCTTTTTTTATGGTTTTAATTACAGCCCGAGCTTTGATGAAATGCTCTTGTGATGGTTTTTATTCACCAGACATTTTGTCGTCTTGTCGGCGCGTGGTGGTGAAGCGGAGGACGTTGGAGTGGACCCTTTTGCCAGCCAACCATATATAATTGTTGAAAGTTATGGAGATCGCCTTTATTCAGAACATTTGAAAGTTGGACATTATATATCTGAGGGTTCCAACAACGTCTGTTTATATTGTCTCTTTCTTCGCTTTTCTTTACTAGTTTCCGTTACTTGTCAATTCAAGATCTAGAATAATGTTATCCATCCCGGGTTCATTATCACCCAAATGAGGCAGATTATGAACACGGTCTCCAATTAAATCTAATACGAAGTTTTGAAACCTCCAGATTCCAATTTATGGAAGAAGTTCTTGTTGCAAGTCGCAACCTTCGGTTTTCGTAAGACACCACTGATTCGCTAACATAAACGCTTGGATGGATTGATGAGAATGAGACCGTTTTTCTTTTGAAACGGAAGCTGGAGACGCAGATGGCACACGAAATGGTAGATAATATTCGATGTAATGGGCAACAGATAGTTGCAGTATAATTTGTCGACCACCAATAGTGACGGAATCTTGTCTTCAGTGACAGTAAATATTCCGTATTTAAAGCTATCTGTCTCGATCCTTATGCTACCCTTTTGAAGAACGAATAAATAGGATTAAATCTGGTCTTTAACCTTCAAGGAGCGTGAATGCGGGTTTTCTAAGATATTGTTTTCGTAAAGGTGCAGAGCATAAAATAGTTTCCGTGGGGCACCGTTAACGTACGTTAGTCTATTTCCACTGACGTCTTCCGCAGAGCAACATTTGATCAACTGCCACAAGCTGCCTCAGCTAGAGAATGCGCATTGACGATCCGGACTGTGTTGGCTGAGTTTGCTCAGAGTTTGGCGAAGTGGAACTGGAGTGTTTTTGGGTTTTTTCTACAAGAATATGTGGTTCGCTTGAACGTTTACTACTTTGTTGTCAAGATAATTTCAGAATAGCCGCTATTACTGCCATTAATTCACTTTTATCTCAGTGATCTTATGAAATCCCGAGCTCTTAGCCACAGAGGTGTGGCCTATCGCAGAAAATCGCTCGATATCTGTGATCCTAGAATTTGTGCTCTATAACTCATCCTTTAGCACACTTGTATAGCCCATAACGGGCGCGCATAGTTTAGCGTGGCTCTCCGAATGGAATGCGTGCATATTTTAGTCGTCTTCGGCCTTTCTGGTTTTCTGATAATAGAAAACAACTTTTTTTTAATAACTAAGGTGCTTTAGTGGTTGTCAACATGACAGAATTGTTAAGTGGACATAGCTGCACCGTTTTATGGGCGTAGATGATATGTATGTTAGTATTTATTGTGTGTTACTATAGTCTGCCAAGTGAGCACACTACTGTCGCGATTTGGAAGTATTTAGGAGCCTATGCTGAGTCTGTTTCGACGTTTTCATATCCTCCATTTCATACGATGACCGTAGCGATTGAAATAAAATAGCAGTTAATTTTCAGTCAAATTGCCGATCGATGGACTTTTTAGAAAAAAAATTTTCGCGAGCTATTATCTGTAGAGAGTGGTTTTTCTGGTCTCGTACTTCTTATTTTGCTCTGCTTTCGATTAGAACCATCGAATAGATACAAACAGTACGATAGAAAGATTCTTTAACGCAGTAATCTGAAGGTGGACACTATAGTGTCTATACCGGGGTCTATAGATAATATGTATGTGCATATGGCACGATCCTCCTTGGAACGATCACTGTTCGTCTGTTCTGGAAAATAGTATGATAACCACAACGATGCTGAGATGTTTCCAAGACTTGGACCCCCAGGCCACATCGAACCAAGGTTATTGTTTTCGCGGTTCGCGTGTTACACACTGAAATGCTGGATGTTATTTTACATATCTGAATTCTCTCTGGAATCTCAAGATAGCGTCCGTGAATTGCTGGTATTAATCGATTTAACAGGCAATAACAAGCAAAACTCAAGTCGGGAAGTCGGCAGTTTCGCAGATCGCAGTTATTACATCTATTCTAGAAAAAACTGCCACTCCACGCGTCTAAGTAATCGGCAAACATGACTTTATAACATTTATTGAGACAAGGACTTGTTAGAATATATCTGAGAAAAAGAAACCGTTTCATAAACATCGCTCCAGTCCATTTGAAGTATTGTACAACCATTCGGTCGGAACTCGTTTTAGTTTAATTAACTCTTTCCTTCAGTCACCTTAAGAGGCACTCTGCCCAACTGCACTCCTAAAAGGATGCGAGTGCTTGGAATTTTCTAATGTTCATCAGTAATTAAATTGCTTGAATATTCAGGTGCACTTGCTGTTTCAATCAGCCTGATGCTTATTGTGATCACCTGACATGCAAAGAAGGAGAACCAGAATTCAGGTTAAACAGTTTTGAAAAAATTTAAAAACTGGAATTTGTAGGTGATTTCGTGACAAATGAGAAATTGGGACCAAATTAAAACAGATGTAAACTGCACTTTCGTAGCCATAGATAGTACTTGCAATGAGTAGAGGCGGTAAGATAGCTCTATGCTCTTTCTCTTTCACTATTGAAATGGACAATTAAATGCTGCAATCACGTTTCATATTAAAAAACCGTTTAAGAAAAATTCATCTTCCGGAACTGTTGTAAATCGTGCTAAGCTTTGTAATTTCTCTATTTACTACTAGTTAATAACTCCTTCTGAGGGTCAAGTCACAAATTAGTACGACGACGCTAGCAGCTGTTATTGTAGTCTTGGTGGCACAGAGTACAGAAACCCATCGAAGTTTGATTTTATTTTTAAAAAAACCACGCACGTTTCTAAAGTTAAAGAAAAAACAAGAATTATAGTTCTTCGAATACCAGCTGTGTGTGCCATCACAACCCCATTGACTACCCGTACCATATCTGCAATTCATTGTACAACCAAAATGGACCTGATCATTTAGAAGCCACACAGGAACGGCATTCGCTGTCAGATGACGAAGGACATCAGGTAAGCTCTATCGATCTTAGAAAACTCGGCACAGAGAAAACTTCTGCGTTCAGAAAAACCAGGTCCGCTAGATTCTTTTCGATTCAGACAATAATTTTTATCGGAAGTTTTTTGCTCTATTAATCTCTATTGAGAATAATTCCTGAAGAGAGAAATTCGAATTATTACAAATAACATGATTTTCGAAGAGTGATACGAAGAATTCAAAGCAGAGGGTCCATGAGAAAAAAAACACATACTTTTATAATGGAGTGGTGACAAGCTTTTTTATTCATTCACTTCTAACCCCTATATTCTCGCAATTACCAATCGTTTGTTTTCAGAATCAATTTGCGTTTGACGGAATTTTCGTACCATCGTCAACTGCCACATACCTCCTCATAGGTCTTCTTGTTGGCGTGATTTTATTAACGGCGACTATTTTATTTGTCGGTAATCGGAAACGACAAAAGCGACGAGGGGATAATCCGCGTCATCAACAGAGTGCTCACGAAGCATTGCTGATGCAATAGGCTGTCGACCATCGATATCAATCTTCTGCGTGAAGTCGGCAATTAAATTGGTAAAATACAGTAACTAATAAATTTTAAGAATCAAACAGCACTGGTGCGTTAGAATAGTTGTTACTGAGGGGAGGGGGAGGGGGGTAGGTGCATAGTTTCCAAAACGTTGGAGCTTTTTGAACGGAAAAAACAAATAGTCCTTCGGAAAAACATAATCAACTTTTCAGTTGTAAAAAAATTTTGCAGTACTTTCCAAAGCTATTTATATGCGGCTAACATGGGTTGAGAAATTGTGCTTGGAGTCAAAACACTTTAAAATGTTCTCGAAAGATTGTCCTTTCCGAGGAGTAGCGCACTTGAGTTCTGCAAATATCTCAGCACTATATACTAGTCTTAGCATTAATGTTCATTGCAACTTACTTGGAAACTTGGGCACGTAGGTGACCCGTCCTCACTGGTTCTGCAGGCTCCAGTATAACTGACATTATTTCGGTGTTTTAGCAGTTTAGCCATTGTGGTTCCCTGGAGCCTCGAGGTCGGCCTGGCCAAAGTATGCCCTAGGTCGTAACCACCACAGGCATCCGCTACCCTTGTGGATCAGAGAGAGATCCACCAAAAGATCTGCCTCAAAGTTTTATCATGCTGCTAGCTCTATTAAAAACAAAATTATGCTTTTATATAAACAATGAACATAGTCTATTGTCTACGTAGAGTCGCCTACTTCGACTTTTGGAGAAGACAGCTGCTCCTTTAGTTGCACTACATTTGCCGGATACGGATTTATTCATGGAAAATCTGCTACTAATTAGTCAAAAATCAAGATTCCAAGGCGAAGTTATTCTTTTCGTGAGATTAAGAAGAATACCGCACTTGAGTTTATTCCAGCCAACTGATGACGACGTCACAACTTTGGTGATTTGCTGAAGTTTCAACGAATGCGTCCCGACCGACAACGAAATTCCTTTTTTTTTTCATGGTAGCACATAAGCACACACTTTGAGCATAATTCAGACAATTCTTCAAAGAATTTCAAAACTTTGCTAGGATATCCTACCTTATCTGGCATTTTCTGGGGGTACTGGACTTTTTGATTTACCTGTCAGATAACTAGCATTTCGAAATCTATGATAACAGAATAGGAGCCCCATAGCGGTGTGTGTGCAGCAGTGGTCGGAGACACCCTGCAACGTACACGTGGAACCGTTCCCGGCGCTCATGGTCCACCAACCATTCCATCCCTACGGCGTCGGCATATTGGTACCAGAGTTGTCTCGGATGATAGCAGCACTGGTTCGATACATCGGTAAGCCACACGAGTCATTATAAAGGCCAGATGTACAACCAATCACCTCCAAATGACGCTTAATGAAGTTGAATGCATGGCGCATCCCTCAGGAATTGATCAACGACTAGAACTTTAGAGCTTTATGGTAACAAAGCATGATTCTTATATTGCAAAGTAAAATCGTGTTTTAAGAGTGTTATCAATCATTTGAATGTCAGTGTAGTTAAGTGAAACACTTTCCAACCTACTCAACAAGAAGACTGTTGCCTCTTAATTGGTGTTTAATAAGAAAGGTTTGGAATTTTGTGAAATCAATGAATGTTTAGAATGCAAATTCTCGAAAAGTTGAACGTTTTACTGCTACATATACAGTCAACATCATATTCAACAAGCCATGCTTTCCCGCCTTTGGAAAAGCAGTGCTACAAGCGGATTTGTTCCATATTCTTGTTGGAATCATAAAATCCTCTTCGCTTCTCCAGTTTGGCTAATTCATCATGATACACAATCCTCTTGCTGATATCATCGTGTTTTTGTAAATAGTTGAATTTGTACTGTGACAAGCACTAATCGGTTTAGCAACTTGCATGTAGTTCAGTTATTATCTTTGTTATCGAGTTCAATAAATTCATATTCAGACGGAAAACTATGCCGATTTTGTATCTTTTGTCTGTATCCTATCTGAGATTGTTGTTATTCATGAATCCTATTAATATCTTTAACCTGAATCGGCCAGAATTGCAGAAAGAGGGCGCTGAAATGTCATTCATTTGAAGATACGCATCCTTCTCGTGTAAAACTTCTTAGTCCGGCGAGAGTTTCTAATTTTCATTTGAGTCAACCTAAATTTAGTTTTTTGGCTCTGCAATCTGACTGATGTAGTGTCTTCCGCACTGCAATTTTGATTATTTGCGTGGTTTTCTAGGACTAGGCTTCAGTTTTTCTTGCTTACACCGTTCATATCATGTACGTTTAAGAACGTTTGTATTATTTTTATTCGGCATAGTGAACAATTTATTGGCTGTTTAAAAACAATCTGCAGCGCATTTATTTGTAAAACGTCTGGGAAAGCTTATCACAGAAGGCATGATAGCATTCTATTTAGAAGGAACTTTGGTGTCCAAGTTTAGCTTAACAAGTCCACGCCGCGATATCTTCATATCACATGAAATAACATTCTAAAAAGAGCGGTAAATATTGATGAGCATGTGATTCGGAGAAAACCAGGAGAAGCAATAGTATTCGACGCGTTTGGTTCTACTCCCCGGAAAGGACAATAGGGCGCGTTCGTTCCCCACTGCATACACCTGCGGTCCGGAGTTTTGCAAATATCTCATCATTACATACGAGTTATATTTCGCAACATACCCTGCCATTAGAAAGAAAAAGGCAGTAAATAAAAGGATTAAGCTAAGACTAGTTTTGTAACATTTCTCTTATAATGAGGGATTCCAAACCGGTTGGGTGTCTGCTAAAGAATATTACTTTCTGGATACATGGAATATACATAGCAAATTTTTTTAAAACCTTATTTTTCTGTATTGTTGATTTAAATGCAGTTTCTCTCACGAAATGGAGAGTGAAATTCAGATTCTTAAACATTTTATGGCGAAGCAATGTTTCACAAACATCGATCACCGATTCTACCGAATCGTACTGGTTCAGTTTCTTGAATTCTGGAAAAAAGTAAGGAATAACGATTAGTTCCTTTTTCTCAAAAAAATAAGAAGAGTAGGTGATTGTAGCATAATGTTCAACAAAGCGCACATGATTCATTGCTGAACCTTGAACACAGACCAAGCCAAACCTTCCGGAGAACTCCGGTGTTTGTAAATTGCCCAGCATTTTTTTGAGAGGAGAGGTCGAAACTAACTTTGTACATAAACGGACCATCGTAACAACCTGCATATAGCAGGTTTCGTACACGTAAGGGATAGATCAATGAAAAACGCTTTATTTTCAGCAAATTATGCCATTCGCTATAAATTTTGACACCCAAGACGGGGCTTGGACACAGCTATCAATTATGGCGTTGATCCTCAATATAAAGAGCGAATAATTCCATAATACAGCAACAATGCAGACAACAACTTTTTGATGCTTACATAGCTATCACATATTGTACGAATCCCAGCACGTCCCTCCTTTGATCTGTTTTCTCGCATCCGTCACCCACGAAAGTCTTCGAATTTGCATATGGGCTTAATTCATGTTTGAGAATTTCGTCTTCTTCATAGACGGCCTCATTCGCTTGCCTGGTACGTTCCACTAGAAATCCTGGATAGCTGCACTAGGATGTATCCAGGTCGTCACCACAGACAATTATCAGCCTTTGCGTAGCGAAGTGGCATTTCTCAGTTAAGTCTGGAATCGTCCTCTAGTGAATGAGAGACCCATTTGGCACTAAGGTGGATTGAACCGAGTGCTATAGTTCGTGTTTTGCACAACTTCTCTAACCACCTTGCTAGCAACACCCAAAGCGGTTGTACAAAAACTTTATTTAAAAAGTGTCCTTACAGTCGTTTTTTTTTCCTTTGTGGAAAACTGAACAGCTGCATTGAAAAACACTAAGAACGGTTATTTCAGCAACTTTATACAGAAGACATCACTTTATTTATGGTCAGCCTCTACTTCTCCTCGTTGCAGAGCGCAACCTGTGACCTCGTCTGTAACTCACTGGCATTTACAAAACTGGGTCGTATTTGACTCACGCGTTTCCGATAAAATAGACCTAGCTGACTGATAATACACATTTTCTTTTGGTCCGCTTAATTTTTGGTGTAGAAATTTTGCTGCACTCTTTGTATTCATTTGGTGGCTTATTGGACACAGATTTCATGGCGGAAGTCACCTAGGGAACGCTCCATTTAGTTCTTAAAAGCATGCATCTCTTTTTTCAATGAATACATACAAATATTATGCTATATATATATATATATATATATATATATATACGAAAACGTTCTGGATACGGACAAAATTTCACCAAATTTATCAAATGCTAGGAACAATGTAGCCAAATGGTGGGTGAGTTTTCATTTCAGACAACAGATCCAAAAAAATCGAGGATGCACCCAAGTACATAGACGAAGCTTAAGAAACAAAAATAGAAAGTTTATTGTTAAAAAAGGTCTAAATTGTAGAAAGACAAATACAAAAAAGAGGTCCGGCTATTGGTGAACGAGGTAAATGGTACCTGACTTTGTCCGCGATGATTCACCGTGAATGCGTATTAGACGAGGACACCAGTGAATTAAATATTTGGTGAGTAAGCTGTTTTGCTCGTTCTCAATGGTGTCAAAGCCATCTCCGTTGAAAATTAATTCCACGCTCTTACCCCACTCATTTATTGCTTTGTCATGGCAGCAGGTGTTTCTAAATTTCGGATAGCGTTGAACATACACCGGTTTATTCCCAAACAGAGCTTTTCAAGCCGAAAGGGTGTCCGGCGTTTTAATACCGAGCGCCAGCTAAGAGTAAACTAGTAGCAGGAGTCACCGCCTTTCTGATATCATATAAGTCGCATGGCGATAAATTTCTCTGTGGGCCACAAAGGCTAGTAAGTGCATGCACTTACGATCGATGGAAACCTTCAGTTGGACTAGCCTCAGAACCCTAAGGACTACTAACAGCTCGCTCAGCGATAAAGAAACTTCAGAACTCCTAACCCTGTGCGCTCTCCTATTATGCAACGCCGAGCGGTGGAGCAACCAGTGAGAGGCGATTCAATCTCTGATTGTACAGCACGTCATCATGACCGGACAAAACAGGCATGCCCACAACATAAAATGGACGCTGCTTCTTGCTGCTCACATGAAACACCAGAACAGTTTTATTCTTGAGTCCGTTGGTTGTACCAAATTCCATGTGATGGCGTTGCAAGAGAGGAAAAGCTGGAGGACCGACACACACCAATTAGAAGACAGAACCCTTGTCATTCAAGAAAGGAAATTCGAATTGCGAAATGTCGAAATAGTTGGCTTTGTAGAACACCTGCTTCTCTATCGGTCACCTGATACGAGATCCAATAATGTTGCTTCGCCATTCTTCGCGATTAACATCCACATGAAAGCAAAATCATTATTATCCTCATACTCACCAATGTACAACAGATAAAAGAAGACTGGACGCTTTTTACAATCAATTGGATAAAGTAATTTGCAAAGAAAGCTCCTCCTGTAACTTTGCTGTTGGGAACTTCATTGCGAGTATAGGCAGAGCCAACAAGAAGGAATGCATTATAGGTAAAATTAAAGGAGTAAAAATTCGAAAGAAGAATAGGAGTCTTCTTACAGGACTTCTGCTCATAGTATGTTTCTTTAATGGAAATTGATTTTTCGAAGAGCGAGAAGATCTCTGACGGGCGTGGGAGTTTGCAATGGCATGGTTTGTGCGGAGATCGATCACATACCGAAGAACAGAAGATGTTACCTCTTTCACGGCTCTGTTGTACTCTCATTCTGTTCTGATAGTGATCAGCACCTTATCTGCGTCAAGATTCGAGTCAGCTATTTGTTGAAAGAGACCTCTTGCTATGGTCCGAGAAGAGCAGAGCAAGTCTCTGGGCGATGAAGAAGTAGCTGACCGAAGGCTACAAGCTGCTTGTGGAAGCACTTAAAACTAGCGGCAAACTCACCTTATGTCCTCAAACAAGGATTTCAGACTTCATCTCCATCATCAGCAGCGAGTTGCTAGAAAAGTGAAGAACACTGAAGCTTGATGTCAGTGCTATGGACCTAACATAATCTTAAAAACGCCAGATGTAACAGATCTTTGCAGAGAGACTATATAGGTACGCACAAAAAAGTTGTTGAAGGTGTCTCAAAAGTGAACAATTCTGAAAAAGTTTTATTGGGATTCATGGGAATTTAAGGTCTCATTGTCAGCTCTAACAAAAGAAGATGGGACTGCATCCTTATTTTGTGAAGTTGATAATGGAAAAGCTCGACACAGGTCATTTTTTCACTATAAATCTCGTCTCGAAGCTCAACATCTCTGTTGAAGAAAAACCGCTTCTCATCTTTTTTTCTAGTGTTGTGAGTGGTTCTTTGTGACTAACATACGATTTGCTTGTCGAGTATCCTCTACAAGCTGTTCACGATGGTCGTCCTGATGTGCATTTCAGGGGCGTTGGATAAAGCACTTCTTGTTGAACAAGCATGATTCCGACAAGGATTTTGCTGCACAGACCACATCCAAACCGCAACTAGGGTAATTGAAATTTGCCAGGAATACCAGCTTTTTCTAGTCCTGCCTTTGGCAAATATGAAAAGGCGTTTGGCAATGTCAAAACGAATGAAATTTTATCAGCGCTCGATGACCAGGGAGTGGACATACCTTGCTTAAGAATCTCATCGGACTATTATCGAAACTGCAGCACAAAGATGCACCTGTTTCGTCTACCTCTTAATATATCCTTAGAAAAAGAAGGTCGACAAGGCTACACGATCTCGTGAAAGCTGTTCACGGTCATATTTCGGCAAATAATGAGGTAGTCAAAGAGGAAGGAAAAATACACACCCATTGGTTGGAAATTCCTGTCAGCCTTTCGCTTCGCGTATCATCTCTACTCTTACGTCAGGTTGTAAACTTTTTTTCTGATCGTCTCCCACATGCGACAAGAAATTGCGCTACGATCTCATTCGAAGGATGGTGATGGTAGAGGGGAGTGGAGAAATCAGGTCACGAGCTGATTCCAATTATGCAGCATTCGCGGGCGACCGTAGCAGCTAAACGGGACTGAGGCGGGCGGACGAGCAGCTCCTGCGCGTTTTCCGCGCGGAGATCGATCAGTCGTCTACGGAGTCGGTGATCAGCTGTCAAGTCGGACCGACTGGCCCGAATCAGCAAAGAAATGGTGCGCATTGGACTTCTTATCTTCTCAGGTGATCCACTTCGACAGCTTTTAACTTGACGTCAAAAGAATATTTCGCAGCAAATCAATGGCGATGTCGTTCAGTCACCGATTAAAAAACTGTAAGAATGATGGAAACACTAGGTTTGGATGTAGTTCAAGGACGAGCATTATTATTGCGCAATACTTTACTTACTCTCTCTTCCATTTGCGTGATTATCATAAGTCTTTTTTTTGTTGGTGTAAAAAAAAAAACATTTTTCCCTACTATCGTGTGATATAAAAAATATTTTCTGCGGCAAGAACACAGTGATCTCAGGATTCCCGTAAATAACTAAAAGCTGGAAAAGTGCTTGAATATTTCGCTCGGAATAATGCTGTTGTAAAAATTCTTTCAGCAATTCTTCTTGGCGATGGTAGTGTCGTCCATCGCTTTAAAAGGCAGACATATCACTACGATGAGGCACTACTAGCGTATGCAAATCCTCACCCAGGCACCAAAATTAAGCAAGGATACCTGGCTCGATACGCGCCACAGGATTGGCCGAAATGGTATGTTAGCTATCACTGAGGTAGCAAGCGTGCTTCTTAATAAACTTTTCGAGGGGATTTTACCACAAAAACATTCAATGCAATGAAAATCGACCGTTTTTTCCAACGAAGCTACGGCTAGTGATTTGTTTCGTATGATAGACAAGCACGTAGGTTCATGTTTTTTGCCACATTCACTACTTTTAAAACGATTTTCGCCTTTAAGGAGCCATCGGAGTGTCATATCTGTCCATCAATACCCGACGTTTTTCATGATTTGAACCAGTGACTCCTACTGGAAAACTCCTACATAGGATAACAAAGATATGTCATTCCAAAGGGTCCGTTGATTATTACGAAGTCGAAGCAGCCTCTGTGTTCATATAGCCAACTTTTCTTATGGCTTCCTTTCTCTCCGATTATTTTCGGCCTAACTTATTTTTTTCTGTGTCCCGTTCACTCTCTGAATGTATTCTATGTGCAATCATCGATCGTCTTCCTTGGACAGAATTTCTCAGAAGCTCTATCACCACTGTTTTTATCTTCCATAGGCGAACCGAACTAACGTGGTAAGGAAAGCGCAGAAATCTCTTCAATAGCATTGTTCCTTTTTGGGAACATCTTCGTAAACGTTATCATTCACAACGGTCGCCTTGAAAAATAGGTGAAACATCTCAACCGACCCTTTTGGTAGAGACGTGAAAGACGAGTGCCCTATTAAAAATATTTTTAAATTAAAAGCGATCATGAATATCTTTAAAACATATGATACGGTGAAGAATCGTTTTGGGTCCACATCTATTTTTAATTAATCCATTTAAACACAGAGCTATAAATATTCTTCGCATAATAGTCAGCTGTATCATCTATTATTCCATCAAATAGTAATTCGAGTAAAGCGTTTATCAGTTTATCAAGTGGGATGCTGTTCTTTGAGTTTCCCATCGTCGAAGCATTCGTTTTCCATATGACATTCTCTCCTCAGCCACGAGACTGTAATTTTTTAGCATCTTGAAGTGTACGGCCGATCCTCCTGTGCATAATCGTATGCGCCCAACGAATTTACAGATATTGTTGCTAGTAGACGAATTTATAAACCACTCCGGCAAGGGTGAGAGAGGAACTAACGTCCTGAATCTGTATGTGTCCTGGAGTTATTGGAACTGAGGTTACTGTAATTTCAGGTACTCGCGAACCGTAATGCAGTGGGATGGTGTGTCAGTTCATTCCCCATATGACGTCAACGACAATCGTTATTCTAAATGGCATGCAACCAGGGTAAAAGGAAGCACAACTGCGTAGAATGCTTGACAGTAGGTGTCTGGATCACCACGCCATGTTAGACGCCACCGATTACTGTATTTTATTTTTCGGTATGTATTTCCTTGTGTTTAATGTTTCACTAGACGAGTCATCATATGCGAGACATCTTTACCTTAGTAAAGATACTGTACTGTGTAAGAAAGAAACGTGATTAAAGGGTGATGAGTTATGCTTCAACCCATGTTGGCGTACTATTCCAACTAGCGATATCCCGTACACAAAAATTTTTCACTTCTGAGTAACTAAGGTATCCATGAGATCGAAATTCTTTTTGATTGGGATACAGTGAAGCCATGTTAACAAAAAATTAAGGTACCTGGCCACAAGGGAAGCCCTTTGATTAAAAACTACACTGTACAAACTCACTTTACTTTCAAACCGTCATAGAGAAGTAAACATATGCTATCGAATTACAGCCATCCAAAACTTGCACCGAGAACTGCATGAAATGTTGCGTAGCGTTAAGATGGTCATTTAATTTCAACAAAGTCGGGTTGAATCGGAGAATTCTTCATGTTCGATAAAATCAAGCATGTCTAGAACTCGGATCCATGAGCAAGTTTTGTGTTAACGGCTAGTGCACAAGAACTACTCTTTAAACATGATCACATCACCTGACCAACTTAGAGCAGTCTCATCTGTTTTTCCGAAGAATTCTGCTTATGGTCATTAGGAAAAGAGGACAAGTTTCACAACCTTAACCACAAACAACGTAAAACGAACGGTGGCAGATTTCAACAGTGCCTCAAGAAAAATTGACCCTGGGCTGAATCTCATGAAAATGACGTTCATTGAAATTAGATAACTTTTTGATGTGCCGTTCTCACTCGACGGAAAGAATTCTCTAAATTTATGTGTTCGAGTCCAGAAATGAACATGATTAACGGGTTATATCTAGAGTAGAGAAGAAAGATATGAGCAGCCTGCTGAGCTCACAGGGAGAAAGAACGACAGGCTCCACGTGTAACTTTCCACCTTTATGGCTTGCGCTCCCCAATACACTGCATGTGCTTGGATGTTACATATGCATGATGCAAGGTAAATTAATACTGTGGACACACTGTCGAAAGGGCGATTTTGGGAGAACACTTCCGCGATAACGAGAGAGTGAATTCAAAATTATGACCTAGGTAGACGATCATACATCAAGGAATCTTTTCTGTGTGAGAAAAGTGAGGGGGTCGAATACGTGATATATCTTGCCTATAATCGGTGGAAAGCACCCGTTGGCTACTCGTTTTCACGGAAGTCTAGCGCACACCCAACGGGAAGGCCATCGAGTCAATATTTAGGTTTGTCATGGTAATCATATATGAAAACTGTTCTAATATCCAAGTTCATAGAACGGCAGAACTTCCTGGACCACTCTTTCACATGAGAACAACAAATGAAGATCCAAATAGTGCTCACTAGATTGCGTCCATGAGCAACAATAGGACTACGACTAAGATGAGTTGCTTTGAAGAACACTACAAAGTGCTTATTGAATTTCACCTGGTATTCAGCGTTGTTGTTTGTTCAGCTAAGAATGCGGTCCGCTGGCAGCATGGTGAAATACGAGAGTAGAATCCTGTCGCCAATAAAAGATTTCCAGCTGCCAACAAAGCTGGTTGACGTGGTTCACAAACACGTCCCCACCTTTCGAACGTCAGAGAAGGGATAGAAAGATTGATAATTTATTAAAAATAATATCTATATGTATATGTACACAGTTTCTTTATTAAGACTTATTCCTTTTTCGCTAAAATTTTTTAGGAAGGCGGTCTGTTTTTAATTATTTCAAAAATTCGATGAAGGCATCTGGAATAGAAGTTCTCCCTTTCTTGCTTTGCTTTCTTTGAACATGTATGTAAATGGGAAAAATGGCTTGAAGAGCTCTCCAGCCAGAAAGCTAGCAAATTCAGTTAAAAACTGAATAACATGTCTTCAATTAGATTGCACGCGTTCATCTTGAGTGCTGATATTGTCTGTGTCTGTCGACGACTTATATTTGTGCGAAACTTGGATAGACCCTCTGATGTGCTGCCGGAATTGTTTAGTCAATCCGTGCTCATAATCCAATAACAAATTATGTCCTCGCAAAGCAATATATGGTCACGAATATGAGTAGCAAATACGAGCATTGTTATACAGCGATGATTAACATGCCAGCATTGCATTCATTCAACGCCAACCGTCTCTCCGATATCATGGAGTAGGTAACTGTCTTTCGTTTAGCCACTGTCTCCTTCCTGCTTTCGTACACGAATCGATTTCAGTAATTTACAAAATAACTGATTTGCAGCTACCAAATAGCTGCTGCAAAGTGGTAGGCATCTCAATTTTATAGCGGTCTATCCACATATTTTACTCAAATAGACCAACCATCATATGAACATTTTATCAAAAAAAGTTTGCCCACGATTCATACACATAGTTGGGTGACGCGTTTAAGTTAGCCTCTGTACTTCATCATTTCTAATCTTATGCTTCTCCTTGTTCACCAAAAGAAAAGCTCTACACTGAACAATTAACTGAATTACTTCAAACGAAACTCTTTAAACTACTACCTTAGTGAAGTACTCGTGAGTTTTTATGAACATACTGGTAAGCTTTTATGATGAGCTCCTAGATGTGTGTAATGGAATCCGTGAAAAAAGGGTCTATGCATCAGATACACTGAGCATTCAGCTCCTATTCAAAGCTCCAAAAGTAGCCTTCGTTGTACACCATAGCACCCCGCCTTTTGCAGATAGATACCTCTAGTGTTGTCTTCAATTCTTAGATATACGGAATTTGTTTTCGTGAAAGCGGGATGAGCATATTTTTAAGAACCTATTGCAATATTCAACTAGACCCACCACAATGTTTTACAGTCACACAGCTGCAGAGATGTTTTCTGTTCCCCATTTGAAAGTTTCATGGGCCAAGAAAAATTGTCCGATCTGAAAATATTTCTGCATTTCTAAGGCCAATTTATAGTAACTAGCAGGCGATGCCACTTCAATGCTCGTTAACTTGCCAATCAATCGCCTGCCAAGTTTCTGAACTGTAATTTTTATTGATTCAAGAAGTCTTTTCCTCAGTTCTCCGAGGTTCTCAACCACTTCGCTGCTCTATTAATGGTGAACTTGTCGTGTGCCATCGAAAAACCAAATTCCTCAAGAATGTGTTAACTAGACGGGTATTACAATGTATTCTTTGACATTGAACAATGAATAATTCCTCGCGCGATTTCCAGAGTTGAGGAATTTTACAATTTAGACGTTTTAGGATCCTAGTGCTTTTCACCATTTATTGTTACGATTATTGATAGAATAACGGGAACGCTGAAGATCTGCTATATACATCAGTCAGAGGAGAATGAGTGGATGTGGAATGTTCTCATAGCTTATGAGTAGCCAGGAATGGAAGGTATTCATTAAAGCCGGTGTAGTCTTTTACCTACTCAATCAATAGAATAAGTTCGTCGAATTAACAAAAACCGTCTCATTTTAAAGCAAGTTTTACTACTTTGCACTCTGCACCTGCTTAATCCCCGATGCGAACCATATCAATAGCTTATTTCTTCCACATTTCTGATTCTCTACATCTATATTCTATCTGAGACTGTCTTACACGGAGAATATTTGAGGAAATTTAAAGACTAAATAGCGTGGGATAACTTACGAAACATAGACGTAGCACGTGTTGTTTTGTGATTTCAACGACAGGTGGTGTTTTTCAGAAGTAGTTATGAGCTAAAGTGTTCCGAGTCCCGATATTGTTAGAATGGATTCGAAAGACTGTAAAACGCTGTCACACCTCCCAAATTTGATTTTTCCTAGTCGTTACCAACCTCTTCGATGACTCTTCGCAATTACCTACTTTACAAACAAGTTTGAATATTTAACATTGTATTCACCACTGTTATGTGTTTTGTATAAACGATTCTACCGACGTAACTAACTAGATTCAATATGAAGAGCTTCATTAGCTGAAAATTTGCCGAACGTGTAAAGTTGTATCGAAAAATGTATTATCTTATGAAGGGTGTTCCACCCGTGAAAAGCTAGAACGCACAACTTTTTATTTGTGCATTATTCTGGAAAAGAAAGCCTGCTAGGCTTGGTTTTGAATCCTATATTAGATAGCAAGTGCTCTACGATGTGGTGGTTGTGCTGAAAGACAAAAGATATAGTGCAAACACATTTGTTCTCATTTATGCATTTTAATCACGAGGGTTTATTTTTTTTACTGAATTATACGACATCTTCTTAGTACATAGTCAACTTCTACCTTCAGCTGGTTCAGAGTTCTTCGTTATCCAACTATGAATAGTTAGATTCAGTTTCATCCTTGGACCCTAAGCATTAGACTGCTGCAGATTGCATCGAAGAGAGCTCCACTCGGATTTTAATTGTTTTCCTTCTAATAATTTAACAACTGTTTTAACACTTTGCTGTACTTTCCTTAATCTAAAGGCGCGTGTAGCGCAGTGGTTGGAGGCGTCACAGCAACACACATGGAATCGTTCCGCGCGACCATGGCCTACCAAGCCCTCCATCTCTTCGGGGTCGGAAAATTGGTACCAGACTTGTATGGGAGGATAGCAGCAGTGACTCAATACATCGGCAGGCCACCGTGAGTGATTGTGAAGGCCAGATATGCATTCAACCATCTGCAACGACGCTTAGTGAAGTCGAATGCACGGCGCATCCCTCAGGGATTGATCAACACCAAGAGCTTTATCCTTTATCCTTTATTCCTTCCCTAATCTCTTCTCTTTTTTATTAATGGATGCTAAGGAATAAAATCAAATAACTACGAAGAATTGATTAATTTAGAATAAGCACTGGTGTAAAAGTCCATCTAGCAAGAAAGAACTGTTCATTGGTCAAGAGGCACATTTTCACTCGAGAACCCATTGCCGCAGTTCTTGATGAGCAGGTGGTCTACTTCCGTTGCAGATCCGAATTCCTCTTCACCCTTGAAGCACTGACGCCGTACTCGTTCTTCAGTTGTTTTCATAATCCAAGTAAAAGTTTGTAGTTATTTTGCTACGTTATGTTGCTACATACATATTATATTGCTTGCTATAATTATATTGATAGTTATTGTTACATTTCATATCTCGTAAATAAACATTGTGACTCAAATTCATCTCTTCCCCTCGATGATGGTAAAATGTTCAGCGATGATGAATGTTGCAAACAACTACAGCAATTAGAAGAATTGTACTAAGTTCAATTGAGAGTCTGTATTTTTATTTTCTATCACAGTAAAAAGGGGCGCGTGTAGCGCAGCGGTTAGAAGCGCCTTGCAGTACACATGGCGTCAATCCCGCACCACAGGCTCACCAAGCCTTCCTTTCCTCCGGGGTCGGCATATTGGTAGCAGACTTGTCTGGAAGAATAGCAACACTGGCAGGACTCATCGGTAGTAGCCACCGCGAGTCATGTGTATAGATAGGCCAAATATGCATTCAATCGCCTGTAAAGATACTTGATGTAGTTGATTGCGTGGGCATCCCTCAGGGCTTGATCAATGCCGTGAGCTTTGTCCTTCTCAGCCTTAAACACACTTTCGTGCTGAACGCTGCTGACAGCATTGCCGATTACTTTTACATGAGTGCAAACAGAATTTTTCTTAAAACAAAGTGATTTGAGGTGCAGTACGTTGATGCTTTCGATATAACAGACTAGCAGAAAACGGGCAGAACTGAATTATAGGATAACAAGAGTGTAATAATAAAAAAAAGAAGCCGAAACAAATGTTTGAGTGTGCCGCCGAATTGGCCGCGTTGACTGCAGCGCCTACTTGTGGACATTTCTCGCATCGTACAAGACTGCAATCAAGGGTGAGCGTTGTGACGTTCGTGCGCACATGATCGCGTTAATGCGTTACTTAAGCGGCCCTCACCGCAACGAGAAGGCAAATGCGTCAATGTTCGTTGGCCCAATGCCTACCAGGGCGGACGGCCATTGTGGCCAGCACCACTGTCTGACCAGCGCTAGTTGACCAGCACTTTGTCGCGATTTGGTAAGCGATGAGAGCAAACAAATCCCACATCTACACACTGGTTGTCCTATATATTCGACGATTAGACCTACTCCCTACTTACTGCAATTCCTTTTCCATTTCGAATATATAATCTTTTAACTTTTTCATTCACAGTTATAAAAGCTCTCCGCTGTCGACGAATTGTATTTAGAAGAAATGTCGAAGAAATATTCTCTCTGTTGTCATTGACCACTTCGGACCTTCCAGCTAATGCGAAATGGTGAAAAACGCCTTCAGCAACAATGGTTACTTTCTCAAAACGGACTTTCTCATAACCTCGGCATTGATTGGTAGTTCACTCTTTTCCTTGGATAACCTCGTGTTTGCTTATCGAAGGAAAACAGTGAAATTGCTACTTTATTCGTTTACTAGAAGGCATGAATTTAGGCAGTGAGAAGGTTTTATTGCTCAAGAACATCGGAATTTCTGGACTGTCCTCTTTCATTTCATAGCCTAGTAAGAATAAGCGTTCGTAAAATCACAGCCAACATATTTTAGAGAAGAATTTCACGACCTCATATAATTTCCACTGAAGGTAGATTTTATACTGAAGGCGCAGTTATTCACAAAAAATATAGCAGTTTAAATCAATCATGAGCTCTTCAGGTGTTGACTACTACCCGGCTATCTTCGTTTTTTCATCGTACCATTCTTTATCGGTAAAACTGTTTTTTCACTTCGGAGTTAGCAACATTACGCATTATTTCAGAAAATGAGGTTTTCCGTTGTGCTTCTTCTTTTGAGCCATGGATTTCGAGTGTATGGTAGTGCGGTAATTCACCAGAATATTAAATATCACTAGTGATTCCACATGCAGCACAATGATAGCTTTACACTGGCATTTTTGTTGTAAAATAATTGTTTGGTTATTTCGTTGTGATTGCAGTTTTTCAGCCTTTCAAATGCTATGGTGAACAGGAATCTGACTGCCCTTCAAAAATGTGTTTCTATAGCATTGACAATGAAAAGGTATGGAATTTGGAACGGAAAAACAAGCTCGAATCTTTATTAGACGGTAGTGTTTGCTTGTTATTCACCCAATGTTACCTAGTAACCTGCTTTAAAGGTGGAATTTGATCGAAGGTTCCTGGGATACAATGGACTTAAGACTAGTTGAAGTCTCACACCTGTTTTTGTAGCACTTCTTCACTCTAAGTCAATTTCTCGTAGGAAAGATTTCTGAAGAAGAGAGTGGATAACCAAATTGAGAGAGTTCTGCTACCAAAATTCCGGAGTGTTTGAAGCTGGTGTGCTTCGCAATGAAGAATCTCAAGAAGAAAACCGAAATTTCCGATAGATATAACATTTAGTGACACTGTGTGGTCAGAAATTTCGTGTTATTTTTCATCTGGGCACATTGTTATTGTTGCTGCTGACCTTTCGTGTAGAGTTCTTACGTTCGTCCTCGTCATTATTCAGTGGTAGTTGCGACAAATTGTGATCCAGGTTGTAATTATGCGAAATGCACCACTTAGTTACTGAACATATTTCATGCCATTCATTATTCAATATTCCTGTTTGCCTATTACCTCCGAAGAGAACCAAGGTTGCACTGATGGCAAAAGCGTCATAAAAGTAGCGCAGTTTTTGATTACGCAACTTGTTGTGTTTTTGCTGACTGTAAAAATTTATTTTACTCAAAACGATGCTGATTATGACCTTTAGGTGGCATGACATAATTAAATTTATGGGACGAGTCATATGAAAGAGTTGGGAAAGAACAGTAAAATTTATGCCAATTAGCGATATAAAAGTTTCAGAGCTGCTATCGAATTGGTTGTGCAACGATAGAACTGTGCGCTGGGCGTAGACACAACGAATGTTTCATTTTTGATGGAACAGTGAGTAGTCATGAACGCTCTTGCAACTGATGACTTTGTTTCATGGCTAAATAACATTAGTGCTGAATAGGACAGCGTCATGCTACATTTCTTTGTCCTTAAAACTTTATTAGCAAGAAAAGTTGTAATTTTGTCACTAAAGAATTTTGAACAGGCTAATTTGTTAAATAGTGTTGCCTACTTTCTACCTCTCATTTTATTTCCTATTTTCATCTATTTTCACTTTCTCAGAAAAGGTTGTAAAAAGCCGTTTTTTAAAGCTAATTCTACGTAGCTTCAAGATACATTTTATTGTTTTAAAGAGCTTCATTGTGTAAAGAGAATTGCAGCACACGTGTTGCTGTATGGAGCCTGACTGCGCGGCGAATTACAAAGGACTGAATGATTGCGTCGACAGCCCAAAAACGAGCAACGACACCGATAGAACCACTTCCGTCTCACAACGAGTGAATCATTCAACGACCAATTCCACTATGTCAGACTTCAAAATTGAGTTTGTATCTCACTTACGGAGACAGAGATAACTGTAAAAAATCTCCGTATTTTACAGGAAGTATTCGCCATCTAAAACTGCACAAACAGCAATTGCTGACTTCACCACTACTATTGCTAAGCCATTTGTAACTGAAAGTGTTAAAGAAAATACAATATCGAGCGCAAGCACTCCGTCACCTGCAGAGACAGGGCAGGTCGGGAGTGACTCTCTTCAAAGCTTCACTATTGAGTTGGGAGCAACAACATCATCCACCACTTCCACAAATGGGATATCGCATAAACAATCCTCCTCAATCAGTGTGACTCAATCAGTAGTTCGTTCAACGCCGCCAATAGACACATCGAAATTTTCGTCGTTGACAACTCGATACTCTTTATCTACTATCACCAATGCTCCCGTTGATGTCAGCACCGTCACTACAAGTGCAATGACTATCGCTCCGGGAAGAGCTAATCACACACAAAGTGTCTCTTTTTTACGGGACTTGTTCTATGCTCGTAAGCAAGCGGAACAACAGGAACTAACCACTGCTGGAAAAACCAAAATCGCTCAGTTGGCTACGACTACCGTTTCTAGTTCGATCGCAGTTGGTCTTCCAATAATGTTGCCAAAGCCCTTAACTTTCGCTGAACAACGACACCAAATTGGGACGGAAAGTTTCATCTTACCTGCGTCAAGAAGTGATCAACTTCAGAAATTAAGCAAATACAATAGTCTTCGTAAAGCATCCACGGAATCGTCTCAGAGAAATGGTGAGAAGATCGCGTCATCGTCGCTTATTTCTGTTCACGAGGTGACGACATTAGCTGCAAAGAGCAGGGAGGTAGTGATTCACATTTTACGACTTTTGCAATATTTAAAAGAAAGTTTCAAATGAAATGGTGGTTTATGTGAAATGTTTTATGTTCAGGAAGAACCAAAGACGATGGTGCCATGGTGGTCTGCGGTAGTGCTTGGCTTTTTTGTGTCCGTGATCACTGCATGGGTGGTCCTTCTTTTCTTGCGAAAGTAAGAACGTAGAAGATTAAGGATGAATACAGAAGATAATCTCAGTAGAAGTGATCGCTTGCATCCCATTCATCATTGATTAGCTCGGGCAGGTGCCAGTAGAATGAAAATTGAATTTTTCCAAGTACCAGAACCCTTAAGTGGACTCTGCTTGGTTAATCATATAGTGGGCGGTTTATTTTCTGTACAACCATGCGCGGCACACAGATCGGCCGGTATGAGCTACATAACGGGCTGTTTTCGGCTGGGCTGTTTTTTTCTGTTTTATCCAAGGGAGCAAAGTTTTTTACCACACTTTTTGTAATCACTCAACAGCTGATTAAAAGCAGAGAAATGTGGTAGATTCGAACTAGAAAGGCTATTTTCTTCTCTTGATGATATACTAAAATCCTTTCCTTCGAAAAGCTCATTTAATGGACTAAATGACGATTCACTGATTGACTAATTGACTCAGTTTGACTAATTCTTAACCATTATTTCATTCAAATCACCATAGTGAGTGATGGTTATTTTACGGAATGCCGCGCATAGAAAACACCGAAGTTGACTTACCCTTTGTTTCCAAACGCTTCCAGAAGTTGATGACAACGTATTTGTATGATAAACTTTATCAACACAGTAGTATAGTAATAGGGTACTTCGCATTCATACCAGTGGAACAGTAAATCAAAGTCTTTCTTACAATCTTATTGTGTTCACAAATTTTCAATTCGGCAAGTTTTCAGAAAGCTATCGTTTACTGCCAATAAACCAGCAGGAACATAAACACTGAGAAAGAGCGTTGTCGAAGCGGAGGTACTGCAGGACGCCGCGTGTTGTGCTAATGGGCACAGTGGGCACAAAGACCAACACACTTTTGCACTAGACGGCTTATTTTTATTATTCCTGACGATAAAGTAGCCAAGTAGTCACTTATTCTCTTTCATATCTATCGTGCTTTAAGTTGTCTGGAAGCTATGCTTTTAGATGTCCAGATATGTCGAACCCTTCAAAAGTTCGATGAATCAACTCTGAGAATAAACCATAGCTAAACATTGAGGTTCTACATTCGGCAAAACTCGAGTTTGATTCTTTATTGCAAGTTAGGACGGTGTGTCTTCCTATAATGTTACGACCAATACGGGAGTAAGAGTGATGATAAATTCCATTTTAAATGCGGAGTTAACTCGGCCAGGATGAATTTCGTGGCTGGCCATTAAAATGTGCATTGAAAGATTATTGGTAAGGTTGCTCCATAACATAGCGAGACTAAATATTATGTTTTTAGCTAACTATTAGTTAATAGTCACTCAGTCTATGTTTTCTTTCATTTCAGAAAAAAGAGGCAAAGAGCAAATCCCGTCAGTGAGAGCCCTGAAGCAGATAAGGATCTTGAAGACCCACTGCTGAAAACTACCGAGATGTCGGACTCAACGTCTACTAATAATAAAAGCTAAAGAACGAAAATCCTACCATTATTATGATATCACCATTTTTTTCATTAGTGGTCATCTCGATGAGAAAACCGATACAATGTGAAAATATAACGTGAAGTATTCTGTAAACAGACATTGTATTTCTGTGCTGTTAGACTTTAACATTGGAGGTGGCCTAGAATAAGCTTTTGAAAGCACCGGAGATCTCCGATAGTTTTTCCAAAGATTCAATTTCTGCTTTGTTCCACTACACATGGAATTCACTTTCTACATTTTTGGCAAAGATAGGCAAGTATTTGCAAAACTATTGCTTATGGGAACTTTTCCTTTCTCGTTATTTTACCATTAATGCATGTATTATTAAGATAAGTATTGTCAATAAAGGCTTCTGCATTTATCCTAAAAAGAACGAATGCTCATCACTGATTTGATATGTACAAGGAAGCTAGTGAAGAGAAATTTTAAATTCGCATGTGATCTCAAATCTCTGCAGAACTGGTGTAGTAGGTGGCTGCTTTTTACCACCGAGATAGAAGGGCTAAATTTTTTTTGCTTTAAAAAGATTCGAATTTGGCAGAAACAGTGTAACTTTGCTGAAAATTCGGAAACGAGGTTGCAGATGAAGTTGGTCGTGGTTTTATCAACTTCCCTGGATCTATTCGTCACAATGTTATGAACACGTGGTCGATCTAGTAAAAACCATTCAACATTAGAACGTTAATTCTAACGATCATCTGCAGCAAGAGAGAAAAAATAACCAACTCTATAAGTTATCGATCCAGTTCTCCTTGTTACAGATATCAAATAGCCTTTTGATTCGCAATATCGCGTATTTCCATATTGTACAGTTTGCATGGGTTTCACAACAGGAAAAACTAAGCAGCTTTGAACGGCCTTTTTCAGGTAATAAACCAGTAGCTTTCATCGAATTCTAAAACACGTTTACTATATAACGGTATCTTCCATGGAATACATTGTTTTCGTCTGGTGGTGATCTCTTCTTACATCGATATCCTATTTTGAGAGATGTTGCGTGATTGCAGTGGTGTTTCCCACTTCCAGACCCATTTTTCAAAAAAGACGCTTTCTCGGTGAATTATTCCTCGTATTATATGTTGCTCTGAGATCTTCTTCCACGCGAAAATGATGTGAAGCACACTTTAAAAATTATGTCAAATAATGGCTCATATAGCGCAATAGTTAAAGGTGCTTTATAATACTCAGGTCGTTGTCGATTCGTTCGCACGCAGCGACAAACCAAGTCCGTCATCGCTTCACGTTCGCCAAACTGATAACATGCATGCATAAGAGCATTAAAAAACCTTATTTTTATAAATACCTAAGACACGGCAGAATGCTCTGACCTGTTGGACTTACATTTTATGACGGAAACAGAGCCGCCCCGCTAATATCCTTGCTAACTAAGGATTTTGTGATCACAGGCTAAACATCCTGCTTCTTTCTATTTCTGTTTATCCTTCACTATTTATTTAGTAAATGGGCAATGTTTCCGAAGTCCAACTGCAATTCATTGCCAGAAGCAGTCAAAATTCCGCTTAATATTAAACCTTGCGCATTTCGAGACAAGACATTTTGTATTAACCCTTCACTCATTAGAGAACATAAAGAAAAATAAAAGTATTTGTTGAAACTCGTCTACCGCGTCTTTTGCCGCTTTCAAAATCCCGCAAACATGAAGTTCCATTTGGCATCAACGTGAAATGGCTCTTACGCTCAAGAAATAGTACTTGTTCAAGTTTCCACCTTCCAGCGTAGGTACGGTATATTTCAAACAATGCTTTTTGATCGTGCTGAACAGAAAGATCGCTGTGAACCTTAACACTTAGTTTGTCAATTTTTATGTGCCAAATTCATGCGCAAGATCGCCAAAATCACACCTTACTTCTAGAACTCGATAATTGAGTGGCACGCTTGAGAGGAAGACCGTATTTTCTCAACGCTCTCATAATATTCTGAATGGTTCAACACTATTAATGTTCCTGATTCGAGTTTATTTGTGGTAAACGCTTATTACGGCCTTTCCAAATTGATGCGCTAGCTTTCTTATTTATCTTCTTCTAGTACTAAAAGTGGCGTTTAAAGAACACACTTGTCTCGCAGTTTTCACGGACTAGCGAGCGGAGCGACACCACATCGATCGAGGCACGGAGGCGCGAAACCGAGGCTACGCTACATTAGCGTGGCAGCTGCCATCCAGACGTCGTTACGTGCTCCTCCGGAAAACCACACCTACGTAATCCGGACTCGCTGACTAGAAACACGTGAAAGCGCTTCGTTGAAGGTGCCCAGTTTCCAGATAATTTACCCTTTTCGATGTGATTCTGTCTGCTTTATGATACTCTTGAAGACTTTTTTAAAATGCAAGTCTAACATATTACCATACATTTTAAATTAGACAGTGAGAATTGTTAAAATTCGAAACAATGAAATAAGAGGTTGGAAAGGCTTTCAGCACAATGTTTGCTGATGACCTGTTATGCCACTGTGAATCGCCTTTGTTCAATCAAACGTTCTTCCATCCTTAGCAAGGTGGTGAACGCATTAGTCCATGGAAAAGGTAAATAGGTGTTCGATCCCCACCGCAGACACCTGCGGTCTGGGTGCTGCAAATATCTCACCATCATTGTGGCTATATCTTACATCATGTCCTGCCATTAAAAAAGAATAAGTGGTAAATAAAAAGTGATCTCATCCCTATGTTACTCAGGTCCTCATATGCTCCAGAAAAATTGTCGAAGATTAGCGAAAAGTCCGCAATGCAGCGATCGTACTAGTTAGTAGCTACTGAAATTGATTCATCATGCAGTTTATCGCATTTGCTATTATTTTTTCTCTTCATTGATGTTCGACAATTTTCATTATGTGCTGACAGTGCAGCCATTTCATCTACCTGTCATTATTCGGATGAGCTATGTGAACCTTTTTAGTTGTTTCAGCTCTTAAACTGCTATATTGAAGAAAAAAAATCACTCGACTAGTCTTGATCAGTGCATGTCAAAATAAACCAGAATTGGAATGAGTGTGTGTGTCGATTTCATCTTGTCCTTTAAGTATAGATATCTCCTTAGGTTTTCCGCCCTTTAGAATTGAGTTGGTGCAGTTCGGTTGCTAAGTGAAATATTGTTTTCGTATTTTCATCTGCAAATGAGTGAAAGTGGTCTTTATATATCACCGTCAGAGGTTATACCAAAATTTCAGATCACATGACCTCCTAAAAGTGTCACGGTATTCCTACTTGGATTTCATTTCGTGACCAAAATGCCTTATCCTGTGAATTGTCATTTTTTAAGCACACTCAAATATTTTGTTGCTTCAAAAATTTCGCCTTTGTTTGGTTTGCTCATAACCAGTTTTCACACTGTTGCATTTAGAATTGTTCCATAAATTCTTCACAAGTTATGAGCACAACAGACGATGATGAACATGATGAATTCAACCTGACGAAGAAAAATTTAGGTTCGTTATTGATGGTTTCTTCTATAAGCTGATTATTTGCTGAATATTATGGGCTTTGCAGACTCACGATACTCGAACGAACTCACTGCACTGTTCACACTACTGGCCTTGCTGTTGGTTGCCAGCATGGCTTACATAGTCATCAAGACGTTTATCCATTTGCGGAGAAGCGGCAGCACTCTGTCTCAGGTAGCGATTTCCATTGCTGTGAGTACTGTACGTTGTTGATTCACTTCGATTTCTGTGATTTTCGTGTGATGTACACTTTTCAAGCAGTCTCCGATTGCCTATGGCAAGAGCTGAATGGTCCTTCACGATGCCGTGCAATAGTCCGATCTTTTTAAACCGTCCTATAAGCTTTGATTATTATAGAAAATAATATATTATTAACATTTCAATTAAAATATGTTTCAGTAGCCTATTTTCCAAAAGCAATAGTTTGCAAGATTTTGCAAGAGTCCAATCGGGAGAAATAAGATGGTGTTGAGTTTTATTTCTGTTGAGTCACCAGTGATTTTGGTTGGAGGCGAGACAAAAATCAAGGAGAAAAACTGCGTACTAAATTTCTAAATCTCTTTTATTAAGAATTTCGCGCAGTCTAGCACTGATGAAGGTGTAGTTTATATCGAGGAGTACTTCATTGTTCAACGAAATCTTTGAAAATCCGTGTTAAATATCTTTGAACAATGGCGATAGCATATCTGCGAAAGAGAAGCTCATGAAAACCCTAAGTGATCGATTTCTTTGGCAATTTTTTCTGACAATCTGTTGTATCTCAAATAGAGTAAGTCAGTATGTCTGTATTAAGTTTTATTCCACGAATAAAGACATGTCCTTATGATCTGATAGATTTTCATAGAATGAAGTGTCGAGAACCGTTGACCATTCCTATAGCTGACTGGACTCTCAGTTTTACTGAAATCTTTTGCTTCATTCTCTAAGTCATTAGACACTTTCAATAGCAGTGAACTGTTGTGATTTCCACAAGGAAGTCAATGCCTACACTCAAGTGACCGATTCACTTTGGAAAATCTTTCTCTAGATAGGATGGTCAGATTATTTTGAATTCACGACGAAGTCTCATATGGTGATCACCAAACAGCATACACAGACATGTTATTTGATGGCACTTAACCGACCTCAACATTGTTCAAGATGACCTGCAACAGGTTAAGAAGAGAGAAGCCATTAGGGAGAGTACAAGGCTTCATCGTATCCCCATGCATACTCGTTATTGTCGGCAGATTTTTCACTATGAATGTTAAATATGGCAATTGATCGAACTTCATTTCGTCGATATGAGGTGTCTTAATTATTTTGTTTTATTTGATTTTATTCCGAGTACTGCTATGTTTTGGTTTTGCCGCTGAATGAGGCTTTGGTTTTCTTTACGAATATATGTCGATATTGTTCGAGTTGATTCTCCTTAGAAGCGTAGAATAGCACTGCTAGGTCTTTCTCAAGGCCTCACCGCAGGCAATCACCTATTTTTGTGGATTTCAGAGGTTTGCATAAGTCTTGTAAAAATTTCTTGGTCGAAAAGAAGAAGAGGCTTGTAGGCTCGGCACGTGGTTGAACCGGTGCCTTGCTCTCATTATTTAACTCCATCGAGACCACTGTACTACTTCTGCTCATGGTGCAATAATTGGCAGTCACGGATCCGCTTTCCTAAACTTCTATTTACATCTAACACCTGTTAATTGAAGAAATAAAACAAGAAATCAGGACAACAAACAAAAATGGCAAACAGTGCCTGTATTAAAGTTTTCCAACTGCAACGTTATATTAGTTTTCTGTTAGCGGTATAGACACCAATCGTATGTAACTGTCACAACGGAATCGAATAATTTTATGTAAACACCAAGTCTGTGCTCTCGAAGTAAGGATCTAAAAAAGAACTTACAGCACTACACAGCAGAGTGGAACATTTCGAAGAATAAAATCGCTATAAGCAGGTCAAAATACGAGACGTGGATGATTAATTGTAAACATGGCGCCAAAAATGAAGAAATAAGGGCGAAATGTTAAGAACTTTTCTAAATGAAAATCTTTGTGTAAGAAATTTCATTAGCCGATGAAGCGTAAAAGGTTCGACTTTGACCCAATCAATGAGGAATGTGTCGTCCATTCAATTTCATCAACATTGTAGAGGTAAATGAATGCATACCTGGCCTACGCAATGAGTTACAAATGTCACATTGTATCACATCAGTGTTGTTATCCTCCTAGTCAAAATTGGTACCAACATGCCCATCTAGGATCGATGGAGATCATGATAAGCTCAAAGTGTCTGATGCAATTAACGGTCGATCCAGGGTCTAATACTGGGCGCTGCTACGCTATGCACACCACTATTAGAGCATATTGTTGATATGTATTCTTTCTTGATAAGCTTACACGAGGTTGATAAATATATTTATTTTCGGCTAACGTTTCGACGTCTTCGTCTTCCTCAGAGCCGGTGATCCGAGTCGATGGTCCCTGCTTGTTGTTCGCCTCGACGTTGCGTCTTCGCCTTCGTGTCGAGCCAGATCTTCTTCAGTGAGCCATCTTCTCGAATCATATTGTTGATATTTGCGGTGAAGAGCAGTTACATTGGTCTGTTCAAATAACTTTCATTGTTGATATTACACAATCGATTTAGTGAAACTCTTTGCCATAAAGGAAACCAGCGAACTTTGTAAAGGGAATTTATTTGCTTAGACAAATTTCCACTCGTGTCTTCTTCCCTCTCATTTTTACTGCAAATATTGGCACCTTTTTGTTTCGAGAGTACCATTTTCGCGAGCTCGAACCTAAAAGTAAATCAGCTATACAGATATTTACTTAACGCTGATTCTATAACAAAAAATAAATGTTTAGATTACGTTGCAACTTTTATTCACTGCTTACTCTTTTTTCATTGCAGGGCACGTTGTTATTAAATACAACCATGGGGACGTTGGGATATGAGCGAAAGTCGGAATTCCAGGTGGGCTTCAAACTCGAGATCACCCTTACCGGGGTTCACGTGTTTTTCACCATAGCAATCGATTGCTTCGCCTTTCTCACAGCCAGTCTCTCACTTTCACCAAAAAGAAACAATCGATAGACAGCAAATGAAAATGAAGCATTGTGATTGCGACTGAAGTCTCAGCTCAACTGGGATCAACGCTGATTTTTCTCCCTAAATCATTCCTAGTGATGGGTGATTGCTGATGGCACCGTTAGGGTGGAAAAACTGGGGGATAGATATGCAAAGCGAGGGAATGGGTTTTTATGCTAGCATGTGATCCTCCGGAAAGGGTAATGGTGGATTTCGAAATTCACTTGACGTACCGAGTTTTGCTCATGTCTTAGTATCCTTGCGTGCATATTCAGCCCATCATTAAATTAACACAATCAGTTTAATTTTCGGAGGAATTGATGAAAATTATATTCAATTAAAAGACTGTACCTGGTTCCTATTCAGTATTATAAAAGAATGTAAAAAATAAAGAATGTCGTGGATAAAAGAATGTTTTAATAGAAATCTTTCATGTTTCGCATCCCCTTAATAAAAGGTTTTTCATGCGTGTCGAGCTACAGTTGGGAACAGGTACCCCATGGAGATTTAGCAAATTCCTTACAATTTGCACTATTCCCTAAGGAGACTGCTCCAAATAAAAAGCACCTTCAATACTGTCCTCCGTTTTCTCAGAAACTCGTAAGTATAAAAAGAATAAGGCGACTAGCATCCCATCTATCCCAGAGATGGCCGAGGAATTCTGTGGTGGTGATATGTGCACGCTGGAGCAAGCTATCCCAATTTCCCAAGAAGGCGATTGCCTAATCCCTCCGCTTTGTTTTTTTTTCGCCTTCAAAAAATTGTCGAGCGTATATCAGAAGGAACTCTCAACCACGGAGAAGCTGTTCGACTTATCAATTTTAATGCTAGTCCTCACCATCACTCGTAGTCCGTTAACGCGATAATCGCAGTCCGACCATTTAGAAAATGACTCTTCCTAAAACAGTAGGAATACAAATAGTAAGCAATTTAGATAAATCTCTGCGTCGAAGTGGAATAAATTTATACGCTGTGAAATTCTGAGAACTTTAGTTACTTTTTCGGTGTATATGTGTGCTTCACTTTTTGCGCATCCGTTTTCAATCATAACAAAACCTGGAGAGGTTTCGATGATCTGCTGTTGAGAGTCAGAAACGCTCACATCGTACATGTGACATCGTTGCTTTACTGACTCGAATACTGCAGTCTGAAATATTCTTCTTTTCTTTAGAATGTTGGTGAAACACCTGATGCTAAACTAAAAAGCAGTCTGATAGACTGTCTTTCAAGCAAGAATCTCTTAATAGTGTAAAAACCATCACCTACACTTTGTCCAATTAACTTTCTGCTTCGTTGATAGCTACTGAAATGATAAATAACTGAAAAACCTTGCAGAACGATGCGCTGAGGCACATTTTTACACAGCCAGTAATGCTCGGCGATGAAGCATGGCGAATTGGAAAGCGAGAAATGCTCTTCTGCACGTGAAGAATGAAAACTTCGTCGCTCTGGCATCGCTGGTTAGAATCTAAAAATGACATAAAAGTTGAGACGTTTCTCAAAAGTTTTAGGTTATGTTCGTTCTGTAACCGTATATAAGCTCAATTTACGACTGCAGAAAGCGGTAGTTCATCATGTTTGTCGTTAATAATTAAAGAAATAAATAATGTCTACTGCTAGGTATTTGGCATGATCTCCATAAAAAATTTATTCCGACCTCATATTTGTCTCAATCGGTTATGGATTCATGAACTGCGGCCCTCTCTTCTTACCTGGAATGCAAAACTTCTCTGCATATATCACGTTCTCATTTTGGATTAGATTTCCAGGACCATGTGGTTCCGCAAGAATACTATAAAGCTCGCATTTGCGAGTGAGAGGGAAGTAATTCAAGGAACGACAAGCGAGTTCTTCGTGGTTCAGACCCTGTAAAGGTCAACGTTTCTTGGGAATTTCAAAAAACGTGGAAGAAAAGTGTTGTAAAAGGCAATACCTGGTTCATACTACAAAAATTTGTACATTCACCTTGGCCGATGTCATTAAGAACCTTGAAAAAAGCTTATATATATGTATATATATATATATACATAAAATAATCCTGTGTCGCTTTTCAACTACTGATGAAACTGACGCTCTTTAAGTCATGGAGATAGAACTAGTCGTTTAAAAAATGCCAAGCATTTGACTTCTGATGGAATCAGATTTAAGAACATGGTTTACGTACTTTTGACATTTCAGAAGAACTAGTAATAAATTTTATTTGGTCTCTCTAAAATTTTTCTCTAAAAAAATTTAAAAAAAATAAAATGGACATCCAGCTTCTTATTTAGAAGTGCTTAGTTGATCATGCCTTCACTGTTCCTCCGTTTCTTATCGGTCGGACTATTTCGTTTCCAATAATAACATAGTAACCAATATTCGTTGCGCAGGTTTCTAAATGATACAGTATTGGTACATAGACATTTATATAATGTCAACAACACTTGTAGAAGAATACAAGTGAGTTAGAAGTGGCTTTGCGAGCACGCTTTATATTTTAAAGGAGAAACAGCAAACCGTCAAGCATTGCTCTTGTGTCATTTTTGCTCACTAAGAACGAGTCTTTTGTGGTTTTGTCAAGATGAACGCCTTTGTTGGTAATCCATGTCCTAAAAAGTTTGCTTCTTACGTTGATAGTTGCTCTCAAGATTATCTATTAATCATCGTTTAGGCTACCGAAAGTGGTTCGAAATGCCTAGGGAGAAATCTCGTTGCAGGAAACTAGATGTGTTTTCAGTGTTTTTCCTAGAAGTTGAATGCAACACTGGAAGTTATGTAGGAATAAATTTGCGAAGGATCAGAGGAAATGCAAAAAGCATTCGTTATCAACTGTATACGGCACAGTTCATTTGAAAATATCAGTTTTAACAGCTGATTTGAAAGCAGTGTTATTCTCTTAACACCCACAATTCTTCCTTAGTATGGTGATTTGTAAACGATTCAATGTCTTCCTTGATATGCACTGCTGTTCGTGAAGTCTAAAAGAGAGAGAAAGCGAAGTTTTCACGAATAAAATTTTTGAAATGTTATTCAACTAGTGTTCCAAAATGTCATCACCTCTGTGGAATTCTTGTGCTCAGCATAGAGCGGGTATGTCGGAGTAATATTAGAGCGGTTTTGTTCGAATGTTGTATTTCCTGGACAAATATGTTCGTTGCTTTCACCAACACTTCCTTTCTTGTTTTAGAATTACGACCACTTTTTTAAAACAGAGGTTTAATCTTTTTTGAGCCTCGCAAAAAATCCATCCAATTCATTCGATATTCTCATATTATTGATATTTCTCACGGTAGTTGCACACTGTTTCATGCATACAACTTGACACTTAATCTACCCTATAGTAACTTAGTCGAAACTCTTGCCCTACGTCAGGAACCAGTCGTATTTGTTCGAAGCGACAAGATGACGTGGCAAAACCACCTTGTGACCGCTTCTGCAAAGTTAAAGTAAAAGTGAGGTCAATTCACTCATCTACAGTTTGTTCCCTCCATTTCTTTCTTGCAGGCGCATTCTATAGAGTGGGTCCGATTATTGAGCTTTCCCTTTCCATAAGCAATGGGTCGAGTATAGGTCTTTCTCCTGATAACACCATTGTGGAAGCCTTAATGTTATAGTAAATCCACCTCCTTATATAGCTTGCTTGTCCATTAATACTGTGTTGGATATACTCTGCACATATTTGTTGTTCTCGCTGAGTTTGGCATTGTTGTGTTAATATTATCTATATTGTGTTCAGCTACTCAAGTTTGAGATTATGAACTTATGATTTTGAGCAAGTACAAAAAATTTCCCACGTGAACCGGAAGAACCGAACCGCTGTTTTTTCCTCTCCTAGGAAATCCAGTACTCGCTCTTCCTCTCCTTCTCTCTCCCTCTCTCTCTCTTTCTCTCTCTGTCTTCAATTCCAAGGGGTCAATCTATCTCACTTCTATTTTATTTATCTTTTTTATTCATAACATTTTCTACCTCGAAAGGTGGTGAAACCAAAAATAAGCGAATTTAGGGAAAAGATGGCACGGAAAACAAAAGTAAGTTAAAACTCACTGTTACATGTACTTCCATCATCAATTCTTTTATAGAAATCAAAGCCGATTGCTGGGTGTAAGATTGCAGGAACCTATGCCCATGTGTAGTGTTATACCCAACCAGCAGCATCAAATATTCGGAAGAAAGGAAAACAAAATAACTGCAAAAGCTGGTGACTGACTTTCATTCCATCATTATCATAAAGTTGGCACGACTTCAACGCAATATTGTAGGTGAAGGATTGACACAAAGGCACCTAATAAGTAAAGGAGAGGGTAAACTTCTGAGCGCCTCGTTAACCTACCTCAAACCTCAAACTCGAGGTAACCTGTTACCTTTCCAGTTTTGTTACCAAGCGCCATTATACAGAAATCGGCACAAGCTGTCAACGATTCCATCTTGTACTCAGCTAATGGCTGATAGTTGTCGATGCTCCTTCCCTTTATGCGACGGAAACATCGCACAACTAAAATATATTCAATATTCTCCATATTCTTGTTGAACAAACACAAGGTGTTACTTCAAATTGCAATATAACCAACTAAACAACTGCTAACCAAACAAAGAAAATTCTAAACCAAGATTTCAATCCCATTGAAAACAAAAAAGAAATTGGTAGCAGACTCACCGTTTTATCTAAGTCTTCCACTGAGTATGTCACGTGGAGGTCAACCGCACAGAATTTACATGGAAGCGTAACGTGAATCTCACATTAAAACATAATTCTTAAGTACTGTGTGAAATCAGGAGTGATTACGAGGCATTTCTACCACTGCTTCATTTTAGGACCTTTAGAATTTATTCAGAATGCCTAGTGAGTTTTGCGCGCTGGTGTTTTCAATTCCAGTGCAAGGATCGTAACTTCTACTTCAAAACTTTCACCATCATATCTCTATGTCCTATGCTCACCTAGTTGGGTAATTGGTTTAACTTTAAGTTGACGGACTAGCTGTTCTTTTATAAGGGTGAGGAATGTTTACCCGTTTCCTTGTTCCTAAATATCTACCTGTTTCCCAAATTTATTCATCCCCGCACTTTTTACAAGAGATCAGATGAGCTCTACCCGAATTCGTGCAATCACCGTCTCCACCATTAAAGTAAATTATGCAATCACGTTGTACATGGGCGGTTATAGAAGAGGCTGCGAATTAGGTGGCGTCTAAGAGCGCTTAATGGAATTTCAATTATTGTTATTGAATTTTCCAGACTCGCATTTCTTCAGCAAGGTTTTTTAGCGGCATTATTTCGTTTGAAATGAAGGACAGAGCAAGCGGAACCTCCAGGAATCCTCCTTCTGCTATCTTCCTGTGCACACGCTAGTGGCTGTTCGAAACATGTTTCTCACAAGCGCTCTTTTTGTGTGTGAAGGGAGAGAGAAGAAGTAGTGGACCAGTATGTCTTTGCTACTTGGATTCGGTACCATTTTATAATGCAGCCGTTTTCAGATAGGTTAATTTGGACCTTTTGAAATGGAAGCCAGTTTTCTTTCAGTTTCGCTCGGCTGCACTTAATGTACTCTTACGGTCCATTCAATAACCCAAAACAATTGTCCTTTTCTTCTTGTGTTGAGCAAATGACAAGCAATCATCTATATACCTAAAGTAAAGTAGTGGCCTGGGATCAATTGCTCGTGGTTCACCTTAGACATAAATGCAGTGGCTACTCAATATGTAACTCTGTAGTTTTTCAATTTTTCAACAGTATAGATACTGTAATACAATAGTTTTTATCTATGTCTTCTAAAAATGAATGAAATATCCCAGTGTATTGTATATAAGACTTTCCATGATGACTTGTGAACACTTTACTATTTTCTTAGTCTGAATCTATATTGTGCTAATGGTGACGGTCCAAAATTTTACACAACGTTTGTGGGAGCTATTTAGGTTACTCCTTTATTTACTTTTTATTTTAAGGCCGCTTATAAAACGAAGTGTTTAAGGGGAAAAGCACTTAGCAAAACACAGAACAAAGATGATGAACAACATATGAGGGTAAGGAACAGCATTTTTGCAGTTACAGATGTATTTCCATAACAATACGGTAGTTGCTGACCAGCTAAGAGCAACAGAATGTATAGGTCGTTCATGTTACTGCTGCCAAACATGTGGCCGTATTCACAACAAGCTGAGCAGAGAACAGGCGACTGCGAACGAAGACTATTTTTCTTCGAATTTTTAAGCTCTGGTTGCGATGGAAATTGTTGTGGTGTTGTTTTCATTTTTCTTCGTCTACTATCTGATAAGTATGTGACAAGAAAGCTAATAGGAAAATCGATTACAAGTGAAAATAATTTCCAAGTAAAATCTGTTCTAATGAACATTACTATACACTATTCTGAGTCGATTGTAAAGGAAGAAATGCAGGTAGGAGGTGATCTCACCTTTGTTGATAGCGTGTACTTGATTGAGAAATGCTGTGGAAAGGATCAGTAGTAGCAAGCGATCTCGGTTCATCACAATCACAGAAAGGGACAGTCAAATGGGGTCACATTGGATGAGAACCAATTTCATTGCGCGATTTCAGATTGCCCATGACAGATAAGGTAGTGATCTCATTTGGGATCCGATCTCACGTGATTACGGTGTAGGCAAGTAAAGATTTCACCGACAAACTGAATCGTATGCTTATGCACCGTTGCCTATGAATAGCACTTTTTTTCAATATTTCCAACAATAGGTCAATCTTTAAGTTTCTTCTATATTTTATAGGGCACTCAGCAAAAATGTGAACAAATTTATCGCACGATGCTTACGAATGACTTTAAAATGCTGCAAGTCATTTTTGTAGGCTGCACGATCGAGGAAGTCAACTGCTTTGTCAACTGTAATAATTTTAATGTAACGACAAAAGAATAAAGGATAAAGCTCTCGGCGTCCATCAGTCCTTAAGGGATGCGCCATGCATTCAACTTCATTAAGTATCGTTTGGAGGTGATTGAATGCATGTCTGGCCTTTACAATGACTCGCGATGGCCTACCGATGTATCGAGCCAGTGCTACTATCCTACCAGGCAAGTCTGTTACCAATATGCCGACCGACCCTAGAGGGAGGGAAGGCTTCGTGGGTCAGGGGCGCAGGGATTGATTCCACGCATGTGTCGCAGTGGCGCTTCCAAACACTGCGCCACACGCGCCCTTCATATATATGTATATATTTTTATGCGTATATATGCATACGTATTTAGACACATGCATATATATATTTATCTTTTTCATTTTATGCGAGTCGTCTTCACATTTACTGTGCGAATCAAAGCACTTCTCACATTCGACTCGTTTCTGCGTATCCATCAACCCCAAAAACCTTCCAACTTTTACGTGTGACCTCAGTTCCTGCTTGAGGAATTTCGTATCATTTAGACGTCATAGAATTCCACTCGAGACGGTTCTCCCTGGAGTCCTGCGATAATCTGGCTGGAGTGTTCCTCATAGGATTGCAGTGTCTTTTTCCGGATAAATCCGGTTCCAATTTCCCGACCTGGACAGATGAAACCTGGGGAGCGATCGAACTAACACCATGTTCGTGATGATCGGCACCGCTATCACTTTGCTATCCACAACCTATACATATATATATATATGTGTGTACATAATTGTTGGCAAGGCGCTTGGAAGCCCAAGCTATTGGGATTTGAAGCCAAACCTGTGACAAAACAAAAAGCGAAAGGTTTATTGAAGCCGAGAAAAATTACGTAAAACAAGGCAACGGATTTCTGTCTTTTTTTCTTTGATTTCTATGTATATGTTTTACGAGCAAGGCTCCAACTGTAAATTTTCGCACTTTGTACACTCTCTTTGACGCACTTGTACCTGTAAAATAAATCGTTTTCTTTAAAAGTCTGTTGAGCTCGAAAGAACAAAGTAGATGCGCCTCCTCACTCTTCGACCACCGGCGCCAAACTGACAAGGACCCCATTCTTCCCATTGCGTAGCCTCTTCATTCCCATCTTCTGAAGTGATAGAGAGATAGTTGTGCAGAATAGTTTAATAACAGCGTAAGCAACATAAATGTAAAAAAATACGATATGACTAAATTGAATGAAAACCTTTATAGCCGCAATGATGCAGAGGCGTGAATTAAAGAAAAAAATTTTATATTACATTTATCAAATGACCCCATGTGGCACGCATTGCGAATTCCAGCACTTCTTGTATTCCATCGCGTAAACAGTCCACTACGTTCTTCGAAGTTCTTGGGGTATGGGCTCAGCGGCTGCTTGAAGGTTTTTTCGTCTTCGTCATGAATTCTGTTGCATGTTGGTCGAGTTCAATTCGAATTGAAATGTTTTAGTTCCCAAGATCGACTTTCTCTTAACCTCGGCATTGGAATATGAATGTGTCGTTTTCTTGTTCAGCAATCGCGAGGTTTTTAAACAGCATGCATTTACTTCCATAAAACACAATACAATACAACGCTAGCTGACGTTTCGGCAGTATCGCCTTCTTCAG